TGCTCCTTGCTAAGTATACACATGGGGTGAGTACTGATTGGTATACAAGCCCATCTTTAGCAGTGTCATTGTTTCACCAGGGCTGAAAAATGGTTGGGATTTGGAGGGTTACATGCCTCTCACTGGATCTTGGAGGAAAATGCTTTCACTCCAGTTTTGAAAAAAATATGTATTACTAACAGAATGGGGTGGGGAGCTGGAGTGAGGGCAGGGAGGAGGTCAAAAAGGCCTTTGGAGGCAATATTTCGACTAAATTATGATCATGCGAGGGTCAAATGACTGTAGATCAGTGGTTCTCAACCTGGGGTCCCCAGATATTTTGGGCTTACAACTCCCAGAAATCCCAGCCAGTTTACCAGTTGTTAGGATTTCTGGGAGTTGTAGGCTAAAAACATCTGGGGACCCCAGGTTGAGAACCACTGCTCCTAATAGTTCTTGTATCACACTTTCTTTCCACGTCTTCTGAAGCTTGAGAAGGTGTTTACAACAAGCTTCTATTTTGGTTTTCATATTGAATAACAATCTGTGGATAACATTAAGCATGGCTTGTTTAAAATAAGCAACTGGTTTCTTTAGTTGGTTTCTATCAACTAACCAGTTTATCAAAAGCAGAAAGAAAAGCCCCAACTTATAACTGGCTGTGCTCAAGGGAGTAGGATGGCCGAGCAGAGTGGAGATTTCAGATGGCCTCTGAAAATGTGCACAGAGCAAGCCTTCCAACTATTCTCAATTCTTGTAATCTGTGAATTTCTGTTAGCCCATTGCAACAAAAACAATGAAGAATCTTGTGGTATGTTTAAGATGCACATATTTTATTTGGCGAGTGACAAACAGATTACTTGTTTAGAGTGTTGTCTCATTGGTAAACTATTTTTTCATTATAAATGTCAATGCACAAATCTAAACAATTCCTGTCTTGAGGAAACCTTTGACTTTTCAGATATTCTGGAAACTCGGAAACTCCTGCCAACATGACTAGTGCTATGGGCTCGTGGAGGTTGTAGCACCAAACATCTGGAGAACCAACAGTTACACCTCTAAGATGATTTATGCCTTTGGGCCTTCAGCAGCCCACCCACCTCTCCCTCCATTGATCTCTTTTTACAAAGCTAAAATGGGAAAGATGAAAGAGATGCAATTGGATCATTTGGTAAATTACATGTCTATTTTGGTTGAATGTACAAGCAACGATGCTTCTCATCAAACAAAATATTATGGGTTCACATGCTATGCTGCATATGGGAAAAACTAAAATAAGGAAATTCTTTCTGGGTGTTTAGCAAGAGAATATTGCAGAAAATAAGCAATGTTAGCAAGAGCAAAAGATAATATTGCAGAAATTAAGCAACATTGGCAAGATAAACAATACATATCTGTTGCATATTGAGATGAAAAAGTCAACTACAGAGGGAGTAGCAAGACTCAAAATACTTTTAAATTTGTTTTTAGAATTGTTTTTTAGTTCTAACATTTCGATATCCAATATTCATGGCAATGAATTCTACAACTGCATTAAAGGGGGAGAAATCTGGAGTAACAGCTAGAGTTCAATATAGAGAAGGAATGAAAACATCCAAGACCGAGTGTCATGAAATCACATTTAAATAATTTCTTAAAATGTTATTTTATATTGCTCTGTTGCAAACTGTGCGTAAGCCCACTATTGTTGGTAAGAGGGGAATTATATGAATTTGGCATTAATCAAATTCAAGTTGTTAAGTATATCAATTATCAGCTTGCTGACAATATAGTCTGATGACTTGAGGAAAAGAAGTGACTTGGTATTTAAAAGAATTAAGTGCAGAATTCAGGGGAGATGAGATAAAAAAATAAGTGCTACACAGTACAACTTTCATAGGCATGCTTCAGAAAAAGTTAAGCGCTTTGTCCTTTTGTTTTCAATTTAGTATATGCTTAATCCATTTAAATCAATAGGACTTTAAAGTGTTTAACAGCTGGACTGTATCCCTACACATGCACATTCAACAAGCAACTTAGATATGAATATCTTCAGAGTCCTTGACAAATTCATTTCTAATTTTGCCGTGGAAATCAGTGAAGCCCAAAATGTAATGAGAATCCCCAGCCATCACCATCTGTGTAAACAACTTAAAACATCAAAGTAGTTTAACCAGTTCACAAAAGTGAGGGGTGGAAAATTAATGAGATGAAACACTGCAACCAGGAGCACAGTCTCTCGGTTATATTATCTCCCCTTAATGGAAGAGGAATATGTCAAGAATGTTAAATAATTCCTTTTCCAGTGATGTATGCTGTGAGCCACAAGAAAAAAAAGAAACCTCTCGAATTGGATCCACCATTGTTGTGCTAAAATAAAGGAAGTGATGTGCAGATGTCCAAGTCTGCCTTAGGACTTTATCACATGAAGCCAGTAAATCACAATTGGAGCACAATTATAGTGTCTGAAGCAGGAAACCATCACATGATGTCGTTGATGTTTTGAATTTAAATTGTTATTGAAGTCTGCAATTCCCAAGCTGACTACTTACAGGAACATCCAGGAATTAACATATTACCCCTATACTAAAATCACTCCTAAGCTTGCTAATTTCATTCCAAGTACAAAATGTTGGTACTGACCTATATGGTTCAGGTCCAGGTTACCTACAGGATCACCTTCTTTACAAAATCCACCCCTTTGGACACTTAGGACCACTGTGGGATGCAGGACGGCTACTCCAACCAGTCAGAGCCCAACTGGCAACCATCACCCAGAAAAACCTTTTTATTGGCCACCCCAAGACAGTGGAATGACCTGCTGGAAGAGCTCTTACAGCTAAATGAGCTGTCAGAATTTAAAACACAACTGAAAAATTATCTCTTCTGGCAGGTCCACCCAGTCTATTGTTGAAGGCTTTCATGGCTGGAATCACTGGTTTGTTGTAGATTTTTCGGGGCTATATGGCCCTGTTCTAGAGGCATTCTCTCTGACGTTTTGCCTGCATCTATGGCAAGCGAAATCTATGCTTGCCATAGATGCAGGCGAAACGTCAGGAGAGAATGCCTCTAGAACATGGCCATATAGCCTGAAAAAACCTACAACAATCCACCCAGTCTGTTTTAACGATTACTTTTAAATCACATAATATGTTTATTGTGCTTTAACTTTTGTCTCAGGTATTTTAAAATGTTTATGTTTTAATATGTGCTTTTATGGTTGCATTTTACCTATGTTTTAATATATGATTTTATAGATACACTAGCCGTCCCCTACCACGTGTTGCTGTAGCCCAGTCTGTGTATATGTGTTTTGTGTGTGTATATATGTGTATATATGTGTGCGTGTCTATATTTGTGTATATGTGTATATATGTGGTTTTGCACATGCATTGTAATATATATATTTGTTTTTTGGCTTTTTAAGTCTCTTCCGCTGTGCTTTTCAGTGTTTTTATGAGTGATGGTCACTCGTTGGCCTGACAGGTGTATTGTGTCCAGATTTGGTGTCAATTCGTGCAGTGGTCTTTGAGTTATGTTAATCCCACAAACGAACATTACATTTTTATTTATATAGATTTGACTATGTTGTGCCTTGCCTCGAGGAAAAAGAAGAAGCTGGTAATAAATAAAATGTATTATTATTATTATTATTATTATTATTATTATTATTATTATTATTTTGATGGGGAAATACTATCAATGACTCCCCATATTGCTGCTTGAGTGAGTGGGTATGTCTCACTTCCTCATTCCTTTCCTTTCTCATGCAGATCCTAAGTAGGCTGGGATTGGTCTTATGTACAGAAAAATACATCCCAGGGAAGGGAGAAAGAAGCTCCTCCTGATTGCCCATCCCCTCTCTTTGGGCCAATCGCTCCGCATCCCTCTCTACCTGATTGCCATCTGAGTGATCCCCTCTTACAGACCAAGGGGTATTTAGATAGAGAAAAAAAAGAGAGAAATATCTACTTCTGTGATTTTAAACTTCTTTTGGGGAGTAGAAAGAGACAGACATTTGGCAAAGCCTATGGATAGGAGGAAGCAAGACAAGAGACAAGACAGGAAAAGGTCAGGAGCACAATAGTATAATTACAGACAGGTGTGATAGTAATGGTTTTCAAATCAGTATATTCTTGTTTGCGTCAACAAGGCAACTAATTGAAGACAGCAGGCTGGGGTGATAAAGTCCTTAAAATTCTATTTGGAGCCGATTTATCTGTGAGAGCCGTTCAGCAGTGGAACTCTCTGCCCCGGAGTGTGGTGGAGGCTCCTTCTTTGGAGGCTTTTAAACAGAGGCTGGATGGCCATCTGTCAGGAGTGCTTTGAATGCAATATTCCTGCTTCTTGGCAGGGGGTTGGACTGGATGGCCCATGAGGTCTCTTCCAACTCTATGATTCTATGATTTTGTAACTTTCTATCAGAGAAATAATTCATTGAGGAGCCTGACTGGTGGTACAGCAAGTTAGTAATAGTGAAACAGGTAATAAACAAGGTGATAACATAGGTAATGATAGGATAGGTAATGATTCTGCATATATATACATTATTTCATCAATATATCCATTCCGTTTGAGCATTGTGATGACTAACAATATTAATGGGCAAGATTTTCTTTACTTTTCTTTGTTTATGCTATATTATGTGTATATGATTTTTTTAAAAAATGCAATCTATATTGCTTCTTTTGAAATGTATTTCAACACGAATAACGTTGGTAACAGGTTGGTCGTCTTATTCTTAAGGCAGTGCTTCTCAACCTGGGGTCCCCAGATGTTTTTGGCCTACAACTCCCAGAAACCCCAGCCAATTTACCAGCTGTTAGGATTTCTGGGAGTTGAAGGCCAAAAACATCTGGGGACCCCAGGTCGAGAAGCACTGCCCTAAGGCAATTATAATGATAAAATCCATAAGAGGCAATATATAAGGCTAAGACATATTGTCTTAGAGATACATTGTCCAAGAATTGTGAGCCAACCACCAGTAGATTCCTATTTGGTTGATCAAAAACATATGGACACAACAAAATAATTCATACCCATTTTCTTAATTTCTGGCATCTTGTGTTCTGACCATGGTAGATCTGATGGGGATAATTTTTAACATGAAATTTCAATCTACTTCAGGTATGAGATAAACATTGCAACTTCTTCAAGAACTCTTATGAAATGAAAAGATAAACATACCCACAATCCATGAATATGCCCCAATTATTGCAAAATATGTAGTTTTAAAAGCTGATAGAGAAATCTCTCTGCACATGTGCAGAGGTCTGTTTTCAACAGCTCCCAAGCGTATCCGGTCTTCATGTGCCACTATGTACAAACAATTCTGAATTGTAATGAAACAGATTACGGTCTGAATGGTATTTACATGACTTATAGGTTATAATAATAGTAATACTGAAGTACCCAGAAAAAGATACATATATTTATATTATATTGTTTAGATCTTCTATCAGGAGTAGTAAAATTAAGCATTAGGATTTGTCCTTTAATCTCTTTCATTCCATTGTAAATTTTTAAAAGAGAAATCACTATTTATCTATAACCCTGACATTGCACTGGCAATGTTAGACATCAGTAAAACTCATGAAAAAGTTTTAAAAGGGCCAATGAAATAGTAGATTGTGAGCATAGAACTTGCGTAATCCATCAACCAAAATTACACACCCATTTCATCCCATTCTTCTTCTTTTTTGGCTTAGATCTAGAACAAAGTCTCCATAAATCAACTAATGGGAAAGTATGATATTTAGATTTCCCAATAAAATTTCACATATAAAGTTCAAGTGCAATTCAAAATCCAAGTATTATTTATACTACATATTCCTTTCCATCGTAGCTCTTCTTTGCAGGTAGTTTCTTTGACCAGGTTTCTTCTTTGCTGAAGAAGAAAACTTTTCCACTAGACAATGTTTTGAAATGCATTTCTAAACAGATGCTTCTCATCATGACTGAAGATAAAATAGTGCAGGATTAAATTTGGATCTTCAACTCGATGCACTCTGGAATCCAATATTCTTCTTCGAAGTAAAAAAAAATCCCATTCAAAATATTGGAGATTATAAAACATTATAGTTATTCTTCAATATACAATTTAAGATAAAAACTGCCAAGGAGTCTTCAAATTAGCAAAAAATGTTTCTACTGTCAAAGACAATACAATATCTGACAGGAATGCAAAGGGAAAAGAAACAATTTAAAAGCGCTAGGAAGTTATTTGTATGGTCGTAAAAATCTGGAAACTTTCGATCGAAGTAGTTTTATAAATGATCTTGGGAACATCTCCTTTGATTCTTGTGCTGTGTACTTGAAATAGTTTTGCGGATGTGCCAATACATCAAAAAGGGCTTTAATAAGCTTCTTGTCCTGTAGGAGACAAGAAATATGCATAATATATAGAGAGAGGACAAATATTCCACACAGAGATTCTAATGAACCCCCTTGTAACATATAATGACACATTTTTCCTGCTAGGAAAAAGTTTCTGGTTCGATCATTCACAATCTTTAGAAAACAATTGGCAGCATTCAACATTTATTTCTCAAAAATTTGTGATATTTTGTGTCCAAGAGCGACTATAGGAGGGAGCAAGCTTGTTTTCTGCTTCCCTGGAGACTAGGACGCGGAACAATGGCTTCAAACTACAAGAGAGGAGATTCCATCTGAACATGAGGAAGAACTTCCTGACTGTGAGAGCCGTTCAGCAGTGGAACTCTCTGCCCCGGAGTGTGGTGGAGGCTCCTTCTTTGGAAGCTTTTAAACAGAGGCTGGATGGCCATCTGTCAGGGGTGATTTGAATGCAATATTCCTGCTTCTTGGCAGGGGGTTGGACTGGATGGCCCATGAGGTCTCTTCCAACTCTTTGATTCTATGATTCTATGATTCTATACTTGAGAAAAAACTCCATACAAACAAATGTTGGAAAAGAAGGTATAAACCAACCCTCCTGCTGATCAATGAGCCAATATTTTGGCCTGCTGCTGGCACCCATGGGGTGACAGCAAAAGATCCACACAACAGCTTCCTTATGTGGTCCTCCTGCCACAAGGAGGTCCAGAAGGTTCTGCCTCTGAGCCAAGCAGGACTCTGTTTTACTCACACCTCCCAAATCCCCATTTAGTGGACTCCCATTCATGTACCAATGCCTAGTATACGGAGATAATCCATATCCTGGCAGCAGGACTTATGCCAACTGCTTACAGTACATCAGGGGTCCTCAAACTATGGCCTGGGGGCCAGATACGGCCCTCCAAGGTCATTTACCTGGCCCTGGCTCAGGATCAATCAAAGTCTGAAACGACTTGAAAGCACACCACAACAATCCTACCTCATCAGCCAAAAGCAGGCCCACACTTCCCATTGAAATACTAATAAGTTTATATTTGTTAAAATTGTTCTTCATTTTAATTATTGTATTGTTTTTAAGTGTTTTTTCAACTACAAATAAGATATGTGCAGTGTGCACATTTATGTTTTTTTCAAATTATAATCCGCCCCTCCAACAGTTTGAGAGACTGTGACCTGGGCCTCTGTTTAAAAAGTTTGAGGACCCCTGCAGTACAAATATAAATACAGATGCATGAGAAAGAGGGAGGAATCTCTCTCCCAAAAACAACTGCCAAGCAAGGGCTCAAACAGTCAAATATAAACTCCTCAACATGAATTCTACACCAGGAATACCCAAATCTGGCCTATCAAGGTTGTTTTTTTGGCCCTCGTTGGTACTGCCACCCATGCGGCATGTGTGTTGTGGAGGGTTTTGGTGGTGACGGTAACAGGGTGCGTGCGTGCAGTGGCAACAATGGATTGTGGTGCAACTGGCTGAGTGTCAGCTGCATTAAGATCACTCTGATCAAAAGGTCATGAGTTCGAAGCCAGCCCGGGTTGGAGTGGGTTTCCAACCAATTGTGCAGCCTGTTGTCGACCTTTGCAACCAGAAAGACAGTTGCATCTGTCAAGTAGGAAAATTAGGTACCACCTTAAAGTGTGGGGAGGCTAAATTAACTAATTTATGAGGCCATAAAAAAGACTCCAGGAAAAGCACTCCAGAAAAAAAGCATGTGGGGAATGCGGAAGTACTTCATCAGTGTCACAGATGGACGATGAAAGCGACAGCTCCCCTGGCGGCCAGAAAAAAAAGTTAAATAACCTCTGTGTATGTCTGTATATGTTGCATGTCAAAATTGGCATTGAATGTTTGCCATATATGTGTACACTGTAATCCGCCCTGAGTCCCTTGCGAGGTGAGAAGGGCGGAATATAAATGCTGCAAATAAATAAAATAAATAAATATGTGGAACAGCTGGTACACATGCGCCCACACGCAACTAAAGTCCAGCCCACCAACAGTCTGAGGGACTGTGAACCAGTCCTCTGCTTGAAAGGTTTGGGGACTCCCCGTCTACACTATTTACTCAAGCCAGGTTCAAACCACAAGCTTTTAACTCATTGACCGGTAGCTTCTGCCTCTTTTCCACAGTGTGAACTGTTTTGATTTTATAAGTCCTGTGAACTACATGTTGTTTTGAGATCTAATAGGAACACTTGCAGCACACATATAAAGAAAGGCTATTCCAGAACTAGACTTTCCCCTGAATGGCTTTTCTGGGAACAAGGAAAGCCATGAAAGAAATCAGTTCTGATTCCTCACTGTGAAAGTATCAGTAACCCCCACCCCCACCCCAATCTCCCTGCAAGTTTGGCCATTACTAAACTAAAGATAAGTTTACTAACTTTTAAAATTTCTTGATGGTTTTCTGATGCATATAAACGTCCATCTCGAACAATGTCTTCTATTAACTGTTGATAATCCTCTGTAAAATGCAAAATCAAGAAGACAAAGTAAGCAACATTTCATCATCATCTCACAATGGAAATAGTCCGCTGCCCAGACAACAAACAATTTCCTACCAAACACATCTTTAATTTTATGAACAGGATCCCAAACATGTAGCTAAGTGGATTGGGTGATAGGTGGGTTTACAGGTTCAAGCCATAAACATGCACACCTGGATTGCAGGTGAAAACTGAGGAAACTGAGGTGCTAAAAAAGCATGGGACAGCAATAAAAACAAGGAGATGAGTCATTGTTAAACCTTAGACATTATATGAACAAGACTGTTTCTGATTACCAAGTGAAAGCTCAGTTAGTTAAAAATCTATGGACTCCATTGCCAGGATATGTGGATAAGAAGAGGCATCTAAGTTTTCAACCCAATCGGTTCAACAGATTTCCATGGTTAGTCTACTTATTTCATGTACAAGGTTCACTCTGTAAGTACTCTGTGGTGTATAGAGAAGTTGGAGTAAAGGTGGTCATCAGAAACTTGATGTACTGTTTGCTAAACCATTTGTGGTGCAATGGAAATATGCAATACGAGTCTTCAATGCACACCAAAAAGAGAGTACCATCAGAACAACTTGTTCTTGACTGAAAACTTCTTGCTAATTCACATTGGAAAACATCTTGATGTTACCCATTATCTTGATCAAGGAAATAAGAAAGCAGAAGAAAACAGAAAGAAACTTCTGCCAATTGTGGAAACTATTGTCCTTTGTGGCCAACAAGAACTAGCTTTAAGAGGGAGCAAGGATTCAGGACCCATTACCTGTGAAGAACCATTGCACAATGATGGTAATTTTAGGACCTTGTTGAGATCTTGTGCCAGATCAGGAGATACTGACCATAAAAGTCACCTCAAAACTCCAGCTATGAATGCCCAGTATACAAATTCTCAAATACTGGATTAACTAATAGAAAATTAAGGTGACAAGATAATCAAAAATATTGTTGACAGATGAAGTTCAATACAGTGTTTCTCTGATTTGGCAGATGGAACTTTGGATATGAGTATCTGAGAACAGCTATCACTTTCAGTAAGGTACATTGATGTTAAAGTTGCTGGAATAAGAGAAGATTGTATAGGCTTTGTGAAGATATGTGATATGTTAGGTAGAGGACTTGCAGGCATTATTTTGAAAATACTGGAAAAATTGGACTGGATTTGCAATACTTGTGTGGACAGTATTATAATGGAGCCATTAATATAAGTAGTCATATTAGTGTATTGTTGAAGGCTTTCATTGCCGGAATCACTGGGTTGTTGTGGATTTTTTCGGGTTATATGGCCATGTTCTAGAGGCATTCTCTCCTGACGTTTCGCCTGCATCTATGGCAAGCATCCTCAGAGGTAGTAAGGTGACTCACCTCACTACCACTGAGGATGCTTGCCATAGATGCAGGCGAAACGTCAAAGATCTCCTGTGAAAGAAGGCTAAATGGGTGCATCTCATTTCTGAACTGGACAGATACCGCTTTGATAGTTTGAGATCTAAGCAATTGATAAATATTAATTAACATGAAGAATAGTTGTATTTAACAAGAGTTTGAAAACAAGCTTCAAACCATGCTTAGAAATTATTTTTAAAATAATAAATGCTTCGCACAGGTGCAAGTCGACAGTTAACACAGAACAGGAAAAGAAAACTGAGTTATTTTGGAGTAAGCTTAAAAGTTACTCTTGATTTTCAACTACTTAGGTCAGTGTGATGCCCTGCAAATGCAACCCGGGGCTGATCTGCCTTACCTAGGGCAAGGAAACCTTAGTGGTTAATTAACTTGGAGGTGAGAGAGGGATTTTCTCCCATCCCAGACTCAGACAAATGACAAAATGTTGAAATCTACAGAGACCCCTGAAGATCTTGATAGATGTGTTTGGTCTACCTCTAGTCCTCCCATTCTCCACCAGCCACAGAATAGCTGTTGGGAACAGCCATTGAACTGGTAAGAAGAGAATCAAGCAGTTTCACATGTAAGATTTTGGTTACCAGTACTTTAATACAATAGGAAGCCCATTCCCACAAAAGTTATATTTATTTTTATCCTTTAAATGACATTTTTCATTGATCTTTGTGTATATTTAGAGAGATGTAAAATAGGAAAAATCTTACCATCATAGGTTACATAGGGTACTTGGAATCCTTTGCCACTGTTGCCTTCATTTGATTTGAACTGTATCCATAACTTTCGTGACCTGGAGGTGAATGCTATAGGTCTTTCATATGTCTGGCAAGTTTCATAGGTAGTAATGGATGTAGGCGAAGCTAGAATATTAAAGCATGAACATAAAGAAATGTTTTTGTAAAAATTCGTATTCTCATTTTTGAGACATGCCAGACACTACGTATCCCAATCTATGATATTTTTACTTTATAAATATAAGCAGCAGCTTTGAATGAACCGGGCCATTGCCTTTTCTAATGCTGGACTGCCTACTCTCACTGGCAGTAGTCCTCCAAGCAGAGATGTTTACTAAAACAGAAATCAATGGACCATAGAGCAATTAAAGCCTGAAATCTCTCTAGAAGCTATTATACCTTGATCATAGCATATCATAAGAAAAAATGGCTCACTAGAAAAGATAATAATGCTTGGTTTGGGTCCAGGCTATTTGTCCAATTGCATCTCCCTATATAGACCATTCCATGCACTGTGGTCAGCAGAGGACGTCCTGCTCTCAGTCCCACCCCCGTCACAAGCTCGGATGGTGGGAATGAGAGAGAGGGACCTCTCTGTGATCATTCCCCACCTTTGGAACTCCCTCCCCAAAGAAATAAAAACAGTCCCATCCTCCTCTCCTTAAAAAAACTATTGAAAACGCACCTTTGCCCTTTGGCATATGGAGAGGAAGAGAACTAGGACCCTCTAGATCAGGGGTCCTCAAACGTTTTAAACAGAGGGCCAGGTCACAGTCCCTCAAACTGTTGGAGGGCCAGATTATAATTTGAAAAAAACATAAATGAATTCCTATGCACCCTGTACATATCTTATTTGTAGTGCAAAAAACACTTAAAACAATACAATAATTAAAATGAAAAACAATTTTAACAAATATAAACTTATTAGTATTTCAGTGGGAAGGGTGAGCCTGCTTTTGGCTGATGAGATAATATTGTTGTTGTTGTTGTTGTTGTTGTGTGCTTTCAAGTCATTTCAAACTTAGGCTGACCTTGAGCGAGGGCTGGGTAAATGACCTTGGAGGGCTGTATCCGGCACTTGGGCCTTAGTTTGAGGACCCCTGCCATACATCTATTGGAATGTTGGCTGATCTACTTGTACCTTGTGGCCACTTAGGTAAACCTCAAGAACTATAACCAGCCAATTTCCATTTATTTTAATTGTTTTTATCATTTGAGATGTTTTAATGTTGAGAATGTGAATAATGTAACCTGTTTCTATGTGATTATTTGTATTTTGTTTTCCATTTTGATGTCCATTTTTATACAATAAGTTCATTGACATTATTATGTTTATTATATTGCATTATTATAATTGTTTTTTGCGTTTGTCTGGGCATTGAATGTTTGCCTTTTTGTGTTGTAAACCGCCCTGAATCCCCTCAGGGAGAGTGCGTTCTATAAATAAAGATGATGATGATGATGATGATTATTATTATTATTATTGGTAAGGTAGAATGTGGTAAGAAAAGAGGAAGACCATGTTTCAGATGGATAGACTCAACCAAGGAAGCCATGGCCCTGTGTATGCAAGACTTGAACAGGGTGATGATAGGGTGACGTAGATGTCTCTCATTCATGGGGCTGCCATAGTTGAAGTCGAGTTGGCAGTAGTTGACAACAACAAACAGGGTATAAATAGTAGCATGCTTGGTACACAGTTGAAGGTCAAAGATGAGCCATGTTAAGAAGAGTAACTGACAGTACAATTTTCCTTACCACTTTTTCTCATTACTAAAACATCTCCACACTCATCTTCGATTGGGAGGAATATCTCGGGTACCACTATAAGAATCCGTCTCTTTGGAGGTGGGCTTATATTCCAAATACATTCAACATTGGCTGGGTAATCTCCAGGGTAATTGGGAGACTCAATGTAGCCTGTGTAATCCCCAAGTTCTCCACCACATTGTTGATCTATGGAAAAATAGTGAGAAGAGGATAATCTATAGATTTAATAGGTCGTCTCAGTAATTTCAACAGTTCTTGATTTGTAAAATAGGAATATCAATGACTTATATTACTGGGTTAGTTTAAGACTGAAAAGAATAAAGACAGTAAATAACTTGATGAACTGGAATGCTTCAGCAATGACCATCAACAGCAATATCATCACACGAGGCCCCTTACAACGCTGGGGCTCCTCTTCAGGGACAGATCCAGATGAACCCATCACATGATGCAAGTTGTGGCCCCATTGATGGTGGAAGTGGCAAGGAAGCATTGCAAGAAGCTTCTTTGTCAGCCAGGGTCTTTTGAGTACGTCTGATGGAGCTACCCACAGTTTTTGGTCTTTCCCCCCATCTGATGGGGGAAATGGCAACACGGTAACGTGCCCTGCCACACTTTTACTTGTCTGATGAGGGAAATGACAGAGCGCCAATGCCCCAATGCCCCCATGTGATAGGGGAAGGAGGGAGGGCATGCAACTTGCCGCAAGGTGCCATGCACACCTACTATTTTGTCGACAATTTCCAGCAAAACGGGACAATAGAGAAGGGGGGGCATCTGTATGATGAGGTCCTTAGTGTATACCCACATTGTGATCTGACTGTATCCTCTTCTATGAAGTATGATCTATCTCTAAATGCAGACATCTGTATATACTGGAGCAAACTTGTCAATAGTTCACAATGATTTCCAAATGATTGCAAATATGTTGCTAAGTTTCAGTAGTGGAACATGTTCAACTCTATCAGTCATTGAAAAATATGGCTATAACTTACTTTTACAGTGTGTAACATTGGTAGAGCCATCAAAATCTGTACTTGTATTCCCAGGACAGGTAATGCAATAATTCTGACCAAACTCAGGCTGGTAGGTTGCAACAGGACATCTGATACATCGGTGAGTTGTAGAGTTGTAGTAATGGCCAGGAGAACAATGAACTGTAGTAGAAAGGTACAAGCATTTTCAATATATTACTGGTAAAGATAAAAAGAATGGCAGGAAAACGAAACAGCTAAGGATGGAAGAACGCAGAAGTAGCATAGGGCTGTCACCAGGCACAGCAGACACACTACAGTGTACAGTTTTCTATATATTATATTTCAATGCCATTAGAGAAAGTATCTCCTGGCTACTACAGGTATGGGCAGATAAAAATTCAGAATATCCTATTACATCCACAGAAAGCTGCTCTACGCATACAGTGGGGAAAAAATATTTAGTCAGATACCAATTGTACAAGTCCTCCCAATTAAAAAGATGAGAAAGGCCTGTAATTGATATCATAGGTAGACCTCAGCTATGAGAAACAACGTAAGAAAACACATCCAGAAAATCACATTGTCTGATTTTTAACCAATTTATTTGCAAATTATGGTGGAAAATAAGCATTTGGTCCATAACAAAGTTCATCTCAATACTTTGTTATATATCCTTTATTAGCAAAGACAGAGATCAAACATTTTCTGTAAGTCCTCACAAGGTTGGCACACACTGTTGCTGGTATGTTGGCCCATTCCTCCATGCAGATCTCCTCAAGAGCAGTGATGTTTTGGGGCTGTCGCTGGGCAACACGGACTTTCAACTCCCTCCAAAGGTTTTCTATAGGGTTGAGATCTGGAGACTGGCTAGGCCACTCCAGGACGACCTTGAAATGCTTCTTACGAAGCCACTCCTTCGTTGCCCTGGTGGTGTGCTTTGGATCACTGTCATGCTGAAAGACCTAGCCATGTTTCATCTTCAGTGCCCTTGCTGATGGAAGGAGATTTGCAGTCAAAATCTCACGATACATTGCCTCATTCATTCTTTCATGTATACAGATTAGTCACGTGGTCCCTTTGCAGAGAAACAGACCCAAAGCGTGATGTTGCCACCCCTATGCTTCACAGTAGGTATATAATAATAATAATAATAATAATAATAATAATAATAATAATAATCCTTTATTTGTACCCTTCTACCATCTCCCGAAGGACTCGGTGCAGCTTACAAGAGGCCGAGCCCAAATACAACAATGGTGTCCTTTGAATGCAACTCAGCATTCTTTCTCCTCCAAACATGTTAAAAATCAGACAATGTGATTTTCTGGATGTGTTTTCTCATGTTGTCTCTCATAGTTGAGGTCTACCTATGATGTCAATTACAGGCCTTTCTCATTTTTTTAATTGGGAGAACTTATACAATTGGTATCTGAATAAATACTCCCCCCTCCCACTGTAGCTATAGAAAGCAACTTGATGTAGAGCAGTGGTTCTCAACCTGGGATCCCCAGATATTTTTGGCCTTCAACTCCCAGAAATCCTAACAGCTGGTAAACTGGCTGGGATTTCTGGGAGTTGTAGGCCAAAAACATCTGGGGACCCCAGGTTGAGAACCACTGATATAGAGGTAACAACCTCAGCAGAAGCTGAAATTCTTATGAGCATTGAAAACATTGAAACTGTAGTTTTCCAACTTGCGTGGATTCTACTTCTACAGGACAGTTGTTGCTAAACACTGTATGTATGTATGTATATATATATATATATATACACACACACACACACACACACATACACACACACACACACACACACACACACACAATAATCTCAGTAAAGTTGCTGCTAGAAAGATAACAAATATTCTTACACCCCAGTAAATCTCAAAATGATGACTTTATAATGACTGGTCCCAAAAGTTAACTGTGCATCAAGTAATCATCTTCCTTGATTCTATAATTTGCTGATAGACCTGTGCATTGTATGTTTTTGCCCTGTTTCCCCTTCCGCTCCCTCACCCCCTATTGTGCTTCATTATTTATATTTACATTTTAAATGTACTAAACACATCAAGTTCGTATGAAACTGTGACTTTTATTTCCTGTGCTGGTCTATGACAAAAATAAATGATTTGATTTGAATTTATGATGATAAATTGATGAATTATTGACTTATTAGGTTAAAGGTAAAGGTTTCCCCAAGACATTAAGTCCAGTCGTGTCTGACTCTGGGGGTTGACTTATTGACTTATTAGTAGTCTAATAAAAGGATTCAAACTGCTTCACCTTGCTTTATGACTTACCCTTTGTTTCACAGTCCTGAAATGACACCGCACCTTCGTATTTGGTCCCCAGTCCTCCACCACATGGAAAACAGAGGGTCCTTCCTGGCTCAGATTGATAGGTGCCGAGTGGACACAATCGACAAGGTTTAAAGCCATCAGAAGAAAAATGTCCAGGAGAACACTGCCCTAAAATGGAAAAGTTCCATTGTGTTATTGAGCTTAACCCTCTGCAGATATTCAAGACATATTATATTGATATTGTCAATACTGATGAATGTAAAGTTTGTCAAATTTCATTCTCAGGTCCATCCGCATAGCCCGCGAATGGAAAAACAAGGATACAGCAACCTTTAATTCTTGGATTAATAAGGCTATGGACATCATGAACATGGATTTGTTAACTCAGAAAATAAGACAAAACAGAGTAATAGCTAATAATACGGATTGGAATAAGTTCATTAACTTTCTAAAAAAAAATTACAAATATTTTTTTTTACAAGGGAAGGAATAGAAGAATCCTAAGGGCCATGATATAATGGGTTACAGGATAACTGGCTGAATTAAGATATGATGGGAGCGAAGTAACACACATGATTGCTTGAAGAATCCTAAGATATAATGGGTTACAGGATAACCGGCTGAATTAGGATATGATGGGAACGAAGTAACACACATGATCGCTTGAAGATCCTGGAAGTCAAAGGGAATTATATATATATATATATATATATATATATATATATATATATATATACACACACACACACACACACACACACACACACACATACACACACACACACACACATACATATGTGTGTGTGTGTGTGTGTGTGTGCGCGTGTGCGTCGCACTGTATTATATGGAGGTGGATGGGAGTTATCTGTTTGTTTGGGGTTTTTGTTGTTGTATTTGTTAGGTAAGAAGGTATGTATATTGACAGGAAATATCGTATGCGAAGCCATACACATAAAGGTGGTATGGCCTTAATATATACAGAGGGAAACATACGACCCTCAACTGTTGTAGATATTGTTTACTTGTATGTCTGTCTATTTGTTTGTTTGTCTTGCTTAACTTTCAATAAAAATAACTTAACTTGAAATTTCATTCTCAGGATCTTCAGAATGAAGATAATAGACAAATGGATGCAGGCAGTCCCCCAGTTACTAAGTTTCTGTGAATTTGTTTTTAAGTTGAATTTGTATGTAAGTCTGAACAGGTACTTTTTCAGTGTAATTCCAGAGAGAGAGGGAAGGAGAGGGAAAGAGAGCATGCACACTTTGGATAGCATAGGGAAGGGTTAGCACCCCTGTGGTGTTTGTTTTGCTGTCTGTGTCAGGTTTTACCACTCTGTTCAGAGAAAACAATGATTCGTTTTTTGATAAGAGTTAGGATACAGTACTTACTTACACTGCCCTGTGGATAAGTCAAGCCATTTTTGGGTTCTGGAGTATATACAGTGACAATAATGCCCACAAACTTGGCCTGTGATCCATGGAAGCGAACTATGCAGCAATCTAAAACCCAGGGATTTCTATTTGTAGCAGATTTCCGAAGCAAAGTAGCTGATAGGAAGCACTGGCAATGCACAGAAGGATTCCTAACTCTCTCTTCCTTCACCTCTCATGACTTTCTTTCACTATGTAACTTTTAGAATCAGATTACACTTGCCTCCACATTCTGAGACATTCCGGGCACCGGCTATGCCCTGTCCATCATTGCTTGGGCAAGGTTCACAGGACAGTTGACCTTCCGTGTCTTGGTATGTTCCTGGTGAGCAAGGAATGCACTGATTATGCTCCCCACTGAAATAGGTACCAGTGCTGCAGGTAACTGGGAAAAATAAAAATGCAATCTAGGTTAAGGACCTTCCCTCTAGTATTGTAATTTGTATTCAGACAAACACAGAGTTCTTTCAAATGTCCCACAATGCTTCCTAATTTAAATATTTGAGCCACCTCTTAGACGTCATGAAGTTGGGTTGTTGTAGGTTTTTTCGGGCTATATGGCCGTGTTCTAGAGGCATTCTCTCCTGACGTTTCGCCTGCATCTATGGCAAGCATCCTCAGAGGTAGTGAGGTCTGTTGGAACTAGGAAAATGGGTTTATATATCTGTGGAATGACCAGGGTGGACAAAGGACTCTTGTCTGCTGGAGCTAGGTGTGAATGTTTCAACTGACCACCTGTTTGTAATTGAGTCAAATCAATCAAATCAAAATATTTATTTCGGTCATTGACCAGCACAGGAAATAGTGTCACATTTCCAGACAAACCTGGCATGTTTGGTACATTAAAAATATAAATATAACTACTAAAAACACAATATGGGTGAGGGAGCAGAAGGGGGAACAGGGTAAAAACATACAATGCCCAGATCCATCACCAAATTGTAGATTCAGGGAAGAAGATTACTGGACACACAGTTGACTTTTGGAACTAGTCATTCCCTGGCGGATTTTGTATGCTGCTGCACAGAACTTTGCAACATTGTAGGTTGTAGCTGAATTAGTATCTGCAAGTAGCAGGGAGGTATAAAATTGTCCTGAATGGCCTGGGTGCTTGTCTATCAGAGGTAAGATAAGCCTGGCACGGATATCCCTGTAGAACGGGCACTGAAGGAGCACATGTTCTATTGTTTCCACATGACCCGAGTCACAGGGGCAGAGCCTCTCTGGGAAAGGGATCTTCCGGTAGCGGCCTTCGAGTACGGCTGATGGGAGAGCGTGGCATCGGGCCAGGGTGAAAGCCCTTCGATGAATAGGAACCTCTAAGTATGTTAAATATGCCATAGGGGAGGCAAGGTATCTGCTGTCTTCACTGACAAGGAAGCTTGGAGCCGAGGCCAGATCTAGTTGGCGCTCTGTGTCTGTGATACGTTGTTTAATAAGTGCTTTGGCTTGATTGTAATCCATAGCTAATAGTAGACCTGGAGAAAATCCCAACGAGGAGATTTTGGATGCTACCGCCTG